TCAGCAGGAAAGCACAAGGTCYATGGATGCTGAGCTGTGTGCTCAGAGGGCAGAGCTTGCCTCAGCAAACTGCCCCCAGTTTGCTGCTGGATGCCCCAACCGAGCAGTCGTGGGGCATGGATCCCCCATCCTCACCCCAGTAKCCATCCCCAYACAGYGCCTGGAGTCAGTCCCTGCYCTCTGCCCGCCGWTTGTRGCTCCACAGGAAACCCCTGTCCATGAGGATMTGSYGCTGCTCRTGATAAAAACCCCRYGTGCCTTTTATCCGACAGCAGCAGCTGGAGRGGAGCAGAGCTGGGAAGGCACTGYCTGTGCACTGCTCCAGCCAGAGCTGTGTGCCCATGGAGTGCCTGGAGACCAGGAGCATCTGAAAGCATGTGCTGGGGGTTCCACCACCACAAATCCAAGAGGTTTCCCTGGGAAAAGGCAGGAGTGGAAGGTGCAGTGTGTGGATTTCACTGTGAGTGACACTGAGTGTCCCAGAAGGAAATTTAGAGCATCCCACCGTGCTTTTGCCATTCAGCATCACCAGTGGAGTGGAATATTCCACTGGGCAGCACAAATGCCGTTCCCAGCCGGCGGGCTGAGGTCTGTCCCCGCCATGGCGTTGCTCTCTGCCCGTGTCTCTGTAATTCACGCTGCCCAAACCCTTGGGGAGCACGGGCACCTTGCTGCGGGGCGATTTTGGAGGCTCTGGGTGGTCTTGCCCTGGCCCTCGGGGGCTAGTGGGTGCCTGTGAGCCCTGCTGGAGCAAGAGGGGGGCAGGACAGGGGAATACCCTTTGTTAAGGGCTGTGAAATGACCCCACGGTCCCTCCCTGAAACCTTCGAGTTCAGCTCCACATGATCTCCCCCAGTGAAACCCCATTCTGGGTGTGATGAGACAGAGTGTTGTTATTTTATCCCGGTGTAGAAAAAACGTCCTGCCGTGCCTTGCCTTTCCTTCCTTCCTTCYATCCCCTTCCCCTTCTTCTCCTCCCCTGCCGTCCCCCGCGGGCCGGGCCGGGCCGGGCGGGGCCAGGCGGAGTCTTTTTCGCCCGGCGGGAGTCTTTCTCTCCCGGCGGGATCCGCCGCTGCTGTCGCTTCTCGCCGGAGCTGGAGCCGGAGCCGGAGCCGGGACCGGGCAGAGCCGCAGGTAAGGGGATGCGGGCATGTGGAACGGGAAGGGCACGGGCWGGGCACGGACAGGACAGGCAGGGCACGGACAGGACAGGCAGGGCACGTAGGATAGGCAGGGCACAGGCAGAGCACGGACAGGACACGGGCAGGGCATGGACAGGGGACGGGCAGGGCACGGGCAGGGCACGGACAGGGCACAGGCAGGGCACGGACAGGGCACAGGCAGGGCAGGTCGGACGGGCAGGGCACAGGCAGCTGGCGCCTCTCCCCCGCAGCATCGTGTCCTCGTGTCCCCCACCCCCGGGGCACCGCCGCGGTCCCCATTCCCTTGCCCCGCTGCCCCCTTCAGCTGATGGATCACTCTGTGACTCAGCACGAGGTACCGGTGTGGGGGACACACACATGAGATTCCCCAGAAGCGAGGGGGGCAGCTGGCTGACCTGACCCCGCTGTTTCCTCACGGGTGAGTGACCAGTGGGATGCTCGGCCGTGGCTTTGCTTTATCAGCTCATTTAACAAACGGGAGCAATTAATAGGGAARTTTTTCTCTGGGCTTTTATCCAGCACATTCAAAGCATGCTATAAATCCTGGGGCTAATTGAAGGAGCCTTTACCAAAGGCTCTCAAAGGAGCCCAAGGTGAAAGCTGGACCTGGCTGCAGGGCTGTCCCTGGAGAGAGCAGCAGGGCAGGGGGGGTTGGTGGTTCTGGCTATGGGAGGGATGGAGGGGGCTGCCCGACCACCCCTCTGCCTTCCCCTTGCAGGATGGACGTCCCTAACGTCGGTCCTGCCGACCTCCCCAAGCACATCCTGGACATCTGGGTCATCGTCTTGATCATCCTGGCCACCATCCTCATCATGACAGCACTAGTGCTGTGCCCAGCCACTGCTGTCATCATCTACCGAGTACGAACACACCCCACRCGCAACGGCATCGTGTGAGGCTGGCTGGCTGGGCAGGGGGCTACAGCCATGGGACGCTGTGCCAGGGACCTGAATGGGGCACCCTGAGAGCTGGAGGGACGGGCAGGAGCCGGGGTGAGCCAGCACCCAGACATCTGCCCCTGTACCTGGCTCTCACTGGGCAAACCCACGTTTTGCCCACTGAGCTCCCAGGGACTGTGGGGGAAATGACAGCACTGGCAGCAGGAGGGAGAGGTGTGACTTTGTGGACACATCCAGCTGGAAACAACTCGCTCCCATGAGGAAGGCAGCCTGGTGTCACCTTCACTGGTGACATTGTCTCCTTCCAGGCAAGCAAGGAGGAGTGGAAATGCCTGGCAATAAAGTTATTTCTTCTTTGGAGTCCCAGCTGTCAAGGTGGCTGGGGAAAAAAGAGTCAAAGCAAGATGGATGTGGCTTTTGATTGGACATTTAGCACTCAGCTAAAAGCATCAGTGACAATGCCTGTGCTGGCTGCACAGCAGACATGCAGTTGGCACCATCTTCTTGTCTATCCATTATCTGCTGAAATYGTAGGAAAATCCTGTGGGGCTCTTGGTTCCTCTGGGTCTTGCGGAGCAGAGCAGTGTGTGCAGCTCCTGCCAGCCCTCCTGTCTGCACGCTGGCTGTGCTCCCTGCTCCAGAAGGTGAGAGCCCACACTGTTTGCCCAGCACACCAGCCCTGTTGGGGGGTCTGTGCACGCCTCACCTGGGCAGGTTAAGTGGGAGGAGCAGGTTTGTGCTCAGCCAGTGGCAAGGGACATTGTAAGCTCTTGCATTACCCTCTGTTATGAAATAAATGGACTTTATCCTTCATGTGAGTGTGTCGTGCAGCTCTGTCCACACTACGGCAGGATCTGGGATCCTGCCTCAGGGTCCCTGGGGTTCTGTCCGGCCTTGGAGCCTGGCAGCCACAGCCCTGCAGGAAGCTCACTGCCAGCCTGGCCCCGTGCTCCGGGAGGGAAAACCTCAATCCGGACACGGCTGTCAGACAGTGGGTGGGAAGGATCCCTCAGGACTTTCTGACAGTGGTTGTAGCTGTTTTTCTCCCGCTCGGGTGAGCGGCATTGTGTTCCTCACACCAGCCTTGTGCCAGGTCAGAGCCCTGGGGCTGAAACAGCGTCTTGGTGACTCAAAGCAAGAAAGGTCACAAAATTAGTGGGATGAATCAGGCAGGGATGTGAGGAAACACTACGGTGATGCTGCTGGGAATTGTTTAAATCCCATTTTCTGTGCTGGAAAGAGCAGTGCAGAGCAGAGCACTGCAGCCCTGCAGTGTTGGAAACCCTGTGTCCCATCCTCGTGTGGCTTGATCCACAACAATTGGCACTGTGTTTGCATTGGCTGTTGGTGCCAGAGGGCCAGGAGGTTCCCAGGGAAGCAGGACCTTGGGCAAACACCTCCCATCTCAGGGAGGGAGCCTAGCACAGGGATGCAGACCCTGAGGGGCAAAAATGCCTGTGCTGGAGCCAYGGGCTGCAGTTGTGCTGGGAGGSAGTRAACATGCATTCCTTACYCAGCYCAGAMAAAAAATTMTTTTTCAAATTGTCAACTCTCTCTTCCCCTCTTGAGTTGCAGAGCTTGAGGCAAATAACCAGAGTTATTTTCCTGTTGTTCTTCCTTTCTCCCTCCCCTGCTGGCATGGTGCAGCGGCAGCTGGAGGACATTACAGACGTGCAGGGTGGGAGCAGCCCTGGCTCTGCTGTCCCCYGTGCTCCACTCCAGCATTGCTTCCCCGGGGATGTTGTGGGATGGCCAGCAGCACCAGGAATAGGAGCTGAGCAGCTTTGCTATGAGAGGAATAGGGGAGAAGCCACAAACATTGGAGTGGTTTGGGAAGGAAGCCTGGCGTGAAGCAAAACATGAGGAAAAACATGAAACATCTCCTCCCTGTCCATGTAACCGTACACGATTGCTGTTCCCACCTCTGCATGCCCTTTGTCAAGAGCTGAGGGAAGTGAAAGGTTTCCTTTCTTGGTTATGAGTTTTCTGRGAAGTTTCAAACCTGTGGCAAACATTTCCAGGAAAGGCCTTGGAAAGATGAGTTTGCTCAAAACAACAAACACACAGCGAAATGGCAGCAGAGGYAAAGCAGGGAGAAAACAGGTCAGTTTTTTAAGCATTAAGATGGGGGAGAATGGGTTTAGACTAAATTTCCAACACTGTTGAGTTGGAAACTCCTCCTCCAGGATRGAGCAAGATAAGCAAATCCCCCTGTGGCCCCGGCTTCAGTGCCAGAACAGTGCTGGAGCTTGGAGGCAGTGTTTGCATGGAGTTTTGCCAAGCAAAAATGCCTTTCTGTTGAGGAGYGGGTCCTGCTCTGGTGACGCTGTAGCAGGCAGGGTGATGTGGGCACTGAAGTGATTCAGCATCCACTGGGATGCTTCCCTGGAGTGCTGGCGTGTGGCAGGAGCTGGCTGCTGGCCCRTGGAGGCTGCTGCTGGGGGAGAAGGGGATGCTGGCTCTCACCTCGCCTCTGAGCAGCCTCCCTTTGCAGGGGGAAGAGGGGATTTGTGCAGGGCACAAATCCTTCCCTGGAAAAGGAAGGGATGGCAATCCCGGACAGAGCAGCAGCCACAGCCATATCCTGGGGGCTGAGGGGCACTCGGGAAGGGGGACCCCCACTCTAAAGGGTGCTGGGCACTGTGCCAGCAGGGAGGCTGCTGCTGAAGCAGGGCAGAGTGGGAGCACACGGGCTGGGGCAGAGCAGTGAGGGCTGGGCGAGCTGCAGGCTGGCAGCTGGGGAAGCCGGGTGCCCAAGGAGCTGGGGCCTCTCGCCTGGCAGAGCTTGTTTTGCTTTTGCTTCCCGTTGCACACTCAGAACAAAGGTTCAGAGGTTGACCTGGGATTGATGCCAGGCCAGGCTGCCAGAGTGAAGCTGCACTGCTGCTAGCCAGGGCAATTCTGCCTGCTGCTGCTTCAGCTCCCCACCGCCATCCTGCCACGCTGCTGGCACCATCCCTGTCCCTCTGCATGAAAAACGCCTCGCTCAAGCCCAGCCAGCAGCGCTACACGGTCCCCACTGCTGCTTTCACATTCCCTGTTCTCAGYGGTGGCCCTGCAGCCTGGCACAAGGTCCCTGCAGCCCCTGGGCAGGGACGTGACTCAGGGACAGCAGGGGAGGCTGGTGGCAGTGGCAGCACGGCGGCCGGGGGGCTGGAAGTGCCTGGCCTCCCGCCCCGGACTCCGGCCAAACATCTGCAGCAGGCGGGAGCTGGCTCCGCCCGGCTCTGGTGGAAAAACAACCGAGCAGGAAGGTTCGTGCGAGGGTCAGCCCGCCCAGCACGGCTGCGTTTTGGGGTGGGGAACCCCGATCCTGCAGGATGGAGCAGCACAGTCTTGCTGGAGCCCCTTGCTCTCCAATCCAGCCCCCAGCATGGCATGGCACAGCATGGTGGGGACACTGGGTGACATTCCCAGGGTGCCACGGAAGCTCAGTGGCAGAGAAGGGTCCATCGGCTGTGTCTCATTAACTCCTCCCCCATTCCCCACCTCCACCAAGGCTGATTTGGCACCGGGACCCAAGGAAAGGGGGCTTGGATTAACGGGTCCCTTATTTTTTTATTCTGGTTTTAGGAAAACTCAGTTTAGGAGTGACTCAGACTTTCACTGCTGGGATCAGGGATCAGGGACACGTGGAAGGGACACAACCCCACTGTGCCACACCACTAGAAGCGGTTGGCTGTAACCTTGGTAAGAACTAGTGGGGCAGTGAGCACAGCCCTGAGCAGCTCCTCAGCTCTGTCCCAGCTCTGTCCCAGCTCTGTCCCTGCTCTGTCGCAGGGCTCAAGCCCTGGTCAGGGTCAGCAGTGTGAGCTGTGCCAGGGAGTGCAGCACTGGGCACACACTGGTCCCTGTTGGCTGCAGGTGCAGAGGGGTGCAAACAGCATGCTGGCCAGGAGCTGCAGCCCCACACCCCCAAATCTCCCCAGAGCCTGGGAAGTAGGTGGGGAGGGTGAAACCCTGGATATTGGCTCCTACAGGTTCTGGCAAGGAGCCACCTTTCTCCACCCACAGCCACATCCGTAGGAGTCGATCTGAGCACCAGCCTGGCTCTTGGCACATTGTGTGGGCTCTGTGTGGTCCCCAGGCAGTGGCTGAGCATCCTCGGGGTTTGCCTGGACCTGGGGGGACACCCCACCCAGCTTGGGGACCAGGCAGGGCAGGGCTAGGCCACTTATCTTGTAGCAGTGCAAGTTAAAAGCTTTGGGAAATGCTGCCAGTGACAGAGGGACCCGCAGCTCCCCTGCTCCTCTGTGTGCTTGRGAGATGTACCCAGCCCCCAGCCCTCCCACGCCAGCTGAGGCTGCAGTTGGAGCCTCACAACATCAGCCTTTCCCAGGACATGGTGTTCTTTCTGGTGAAAAAGGAGGATTGGGAGATTGCTCCCAGCTTCCTCTTAACCCATTGCCAYGCTCCCCTTCCTTGGTGGCATCTCCAGCAGCTGGCTCAGTGACAGCATCGTGGCAGGGCTGACCCTGCTTTCTAGTAAAGCCAAACACCATGCTGGCACCATGGTTCCCCMAGGGCTCACCCACTGCCACCCCATCCTGTCCTACACCCAGACCAGCCTCCCCCCAAAACCGCARCTCCCCCAGCTCCCCTTCAGCCAGTTAATTCTCCCATCGAACAATTTTGTTAGGGGTTTTCAGGGAATTTACACCTCACCACGGATATTTTCCTTGGAGACAGCCCAGGGTAAATGTTCACATTCCTTGGCTAAGCAAACAGGACCCTGGAAACTCCTGCCCCTGGGGACACCAAGGGCTAAGGGACAGCAGAGCCCTGCCGTTGACCCCAGCAGGGTCACCATGGAGCCACAGCCCCCGGCAGGAGGGATCCTCCTCCAGGACTGTTTCTATCAGCGCCTTCATTTACCGGGCACAAAGGAGAGGAGCGGAATCAACCTTCCCCAGCCCTGCCAGCGCAGCAATTGTGGGAGGCACACACCGAACCCCAGCCCAGCCTCCCCGAGGCTGCTGCTGGGCAGGGGTTGTCCCTGCTCCTCGGGTGCCAACACCCCACTTGGGGGGAATGTCACCCTGGCTGGGTGGTCTGAACAGGATGGGGCACATCTCCCCGGCGACACCTCTGCCCCTGTCCCCTCTATCCCCGGTACCGCTTCCCCTCTTCCCCCGGTACCTCTCCCCGCACCTTGCGGGTTTAATCGCGGCTCGGGTAACACATTGCATAAACCCTGGGCACATGCCGCTGCCCCGTGTCCCCGTGGAYACCCCGGGTCCCCGCCAGGCCGTGGTGCCACCCCCGGGCGGTGTCCRTCCGTGTGTCGGTGTGTCCGTGTGTCCGTCCCAGAGCCCACACGGTTAACGCGGCCCCGGCCCGGCCCCCCCCGGCCATTGGCTCCCCCCTCGCAGCCTCTCAGCTATTTCTCGGCCGCCGGGCTCGGAGGTGACAGCAGGCGATAGCGGCGCTTGTCCCCGCAACTCTCCCCGGGCTGCCAGGGGGTGCCGCACCCCGCACCCCGCGCCCAGCCATGGGGGGCTGCTCCCGCAGCASCTGGATTTTGCCCCTTTTCTTGGCTGGACTCGTCCAGCTGGGGCGAAGTGAGGAGAAGGAGAAGGTAAGAGGAGGGGGACACTCCCAGGGGGCGTTCAGGGGGGTTTACGGGCCGTGTGGCACCTTGGGGACGCGCCTGTTCCCAAGGCTCTCTGCAGGACTTCCCGGAGCGGGAGTGGGGCACTTGTGACCCCCCTCCTTCCCCCACAATCCCTGGGTGCCTGGGTCACGGGGGATTTCCTGAGTTGGTTCTTGCCAAGGGCCAAGAATCGCTGTCCTGGGGTTGTGGACAGAGGGGGACAGAGCCATATGTCCCCCAAGTGACCTCCCCAGGGGCAGAGCACGGGGCTTTTTCTCCATGCAACATCCGGGGGTGCTCCCCCATGTTTGGGAGGTGCAGAAAGCACCGTGTCCCCACAGCGCAGCGGGCAGGGGTGACTGTCACCACCCCAGGCAGGCTCCCCACCTTGCCACCGGGACCCCACAGTCSCACGGAGCCTTCACTCCTCGAGCGCAGCCCCTGTGACTTCACCTCTTGCCAGCTCCCAAAATAGCCCCTGGGTGGCACTTGGCTGAGCCTGGGTACCCTGCTGGGGACAGGAGATGGACTCCCCTGGGTTAACCCCCACGGCCCGGGACTCAGGAGCTGCTCCAGCCCGTTCCCCGTCCCACCCTGAACACCCTGCGCTGCCCCTGTCCCCAGCGGGTGGTGGGTCCTGCTCACTTGCCCACAGCCCCGGCGTTCTGCTGCTGGCCTCCCCCCGTGCTCCGGCTGTTCTGCAGCCTCTCGCCTTCCTGCTGCTCCCTGTTGGGCAAACATTCCCCCAGGAGCAGCCAGACCCATGTGCATCCGCATGTCCCAGTCAGCCTGTCCCACCAGCGCGACCTTGGCGTGGCGGAGCCTGGCTGTGCCAGCGGCACTCAGGGCAGGGGACACAACGCTGGCGGCTCTCCTAAAGCCAGCGCCAGGGCTGGCCCCATSGCTCAGCTGGAAGGGGATGGTTGGCAGCCCCCAGCCCTGCTCCCATGGGCTGTTCTTGCCCCACAGGTGGACTGCTACCMCTCGGTGAAGGACACCATCTACAACTACGGCGCCCTGAGCCTCGATGGGGATGAGTACATTCCCTTTGASAGGTACAAGGGGAAGACTGTGCTCTTCGTCAACGTAGCCACGTACTGAGGCCTGACCCTTCAGTATGTTGGTAAGGGTCCTACAGGGCATGGCCACCCTAGGGGCAGGGCAGGGCCCAGGAGTGGGTGGAATCACCCAGGAGTGCAGCCTTTGGCACATCCCCATGGTCCATTCTGTTTTGGGGCGCTGGGGGGAGGGACAGYGTTTGCTCCCCAGAGCCCGACCTGACCAGGATGGTCCCAGGGGTAAGGGCAGGTGTGGAGGCATGCCCAGCCCCCTGCTAACCCACCCCTGGCTCTCCTTGCAYGCAGAACTGAATGCACTACAAGATGAGCTGAGAAACCAGGGGGTTGTGGTCCTTGGCTTCCCYTCCAACCAATTTGGGAAGCAGGAACCCGGCCAGAACTCAGAGATCCTCCCTGCGCTCAAGTGAGTACTGTGGTGGGGCTGTGGRTTCAGACCCTCAGCTCTGCTGGGGTCCCAGCCAGGCAGTGGGAGCACRGGCTGCTGGCTGTGGCCCCAAAGCAAGGGGGCCTGTCACCAACCCTGTGGCAARCACCCAGAGCCGCCCATTGTAAACATCCTGCCCCGCCTCCCCTTGCAGGTATGTCCGGCCAGGAGGTGGCTTTGTTCCCAACTTCCAGCTGTTCCAGAAAGGGGATGTGAATGGGGCCAAGGAGCAGAAGATCTTCACCTTCCTGAAGGTGGGTGCTGTGGCAAGGGGAGATGAGGGGGTCACACCCAGCTTGCTTTTTGGAGGGGCAAGGCAATGATGCACTGGTTCTCTACTGCAGAACGCCTGTCCCCCCGTGACGGAGGAGTTTGGGAACCCCAACAAGCTCTTCTGGGAGCCTCTGCGGATCCATGACATCAAGTGGAACTTTGAGAAGTTCCTGGTGAGCCCCGAGGGCGTGCCAGTCATGCGCTGGTACCATCGCGCCAACATCTCTGTCGTGAAGAACGACATCCTGACCTACCTGGCACAGTGGCAGCAGGAGAACGCTGACAAATAGCAGGACCACTAGAACCTGGGCTGCTGGGATGAGGGCCAGCATCCCCCCAGGCTGCTTCCCATTCCATTCCCTCCCAGGATGTTCCCCAGCAGCAGGAATCACGTGCTGTCCCCTCCATTGCTCCTGTCTCTGGCACCTCCCAGTGACGATGCTGGGCTGGGTAACCTTGTGGCAGAGACCTGAGCAATGGCAGCGGGACACTCCAATACCCCTGTGTCCCACCTCCACCCTGGTGTGACATCTCCAGCTTGCCCCCTCTGCTCCACCATCCCGGGCAGTGGGAGGATGYAGGGCCTGGCTGTCCCTGGAGTAGGAGACCACATCTCCATGAAGGCTTGGCCTGAAAGCCCCCGGCGGGGCGGGCCTGGCCTGASCGTGCCGAGCACGGAGCAGCTCTTCAGTGCATTCAGGCTGCCCGTGCTCCTGGCACACAGACGTGCTGCTCTCCCGGTCAGGGGSGGCCGGCCCCTCGCCCCCCACCATAGAAACACCAAATAAAGGCTCTGCAAATGTGCAGCCCCGCTTGTTGGCCAGGGGTAGGGGGGAAAGAGTGGGGGTGTAGTGGCCAGCCTGGGGGTATGAGCTCCTAACTGGAGAAACTCAATTTCATCCACAGTAACTGCAAACATGGACTTATCATCACAGGCCAGCATTTGGGGGCAGGATGGGGAGTGAGTGCAGAGCACAGGTGGGCAAAAGGCGCTGAAGGCAGGACCAGGGACARCCCCCAGTGAGGAGCACACTGGGGTTCTGTGCCTCCTGCTGTCACACGTGTGACAGCCACGCTTACAGAAACTGGGTTGTGTTTGTTTTCTTCCCTCCAGACCTATTTTCTGGCACAAGATTTGCTGCGTGCAATGTCAAAGACTGTCCCCAAGGCCACTGCTGCATGGGAAGGCAGACGGAGCAGCAGGGGCTCCCCTGTCCTGGCAGAGGAGGGGGGAAGGAGAGGGGGAGGGCGAGGGGCTGATCTCAGCCCACAGAGGGAGGTGGGGGACACACACTTGGGGCAACAGATCCTGGCATGCCCAAAGCTGGGGTCCCCTTGAGCTTGCTCTGGCTGTATCTGAGCACATGGGGACCAACAGCCTTGGTATCCCTCCCCGTCCCCATACAGAAGCTGCCCCACAGGAAGCAGCTTTCAGAACAAAACCAGAGAGACTCAGTCACACTTCAGTCCTTAAATAAATACAAAGACACCAACCACCCTCAGGCTGGGCCATGGCTGTGRCCAGCACCTGCCTGCGAGTGTGGGGTCTCCCACCGCCGGGAGAGTCCCCACCGTTACCCACTCCTCCAGGGGCTCTGTACTGGGGCAGGGCCTGGCATGCTCCTGGGAAACACTGGCTCCTCTTCCCTGAAGACCTGGCTCGGGTCTACAGCCKTGCCAGGCTTGGCTCCTCGTGGGGAAGGGGATGGCCGCAGGGGACTGACCCTGTGCTGGCCGCCACCACGATGGCACCTTTAGTCCCTCCTTCATGATTTCSTCGGGGGAAGGCGCTGCTGAGCCCCCCACGTGCAGCACATGTCCTTGCACAGGCATCGGCAGCCGGAGGCAGCTCCTGGACACACACACACGGGCACACACACACACCCTACTCCTCTTCCACCGGTGTCGGAGCGTGGCCGGTCCTTGGCGTTAGGGCAATCCGGGACCTGCCTGTTCTGAGACACAAGAGAGGGGTGGCACAGGGTAAGCACAGTTCCTCGTTCTCACACAAGCCCCACAGGAGGGATGCTGGCCATGGCACGGCTGTTATCTACAAGCATAACCCCATAAACTTTTGGGGTTCAGCCTGACTTTAGATGCTGGCAGGGATGCAGTAGTAACCAACCCCACAGCATAATCATCCCTCAGCTGATGAGAAGTAGGAGCTGAGGAGAAATGGCCACTACCTGGAAAYCTGTGCCCCCATCCCTCCCCCAAGTGTTCAGCCAAGCGCCCAAAGTSTCAGGATGAAGGATGGGCACCCCTGTCAGGAAGGGTCTGAGCCTTACCTAAGTCCTTAGGGACTGGTTTCACCCCTCCCACTGGCTGGGCATTCTGGCTGCGAGTCATGGCACAGGGCGGGCGCCAGGGGTACTCRGGCTGCAGGAGGAGATGGAACAGAGACAGGGAATTAGCTGGGATGTGAATCGCCAGGGTGAGCATGAGGAGCGGGAGGAAGGGGGCTGAGCAGCCATATGCCAACAGGACACGTGTGCTCAGCTCCCTGCTCTGGGTGGCCCTGGAGGGCAGAGAGCCCCACACCCACTCACATGTCACCCCCTGCTCCCCCTCCTGCCAGCACAGGTAAGAGTCTCACCGGGGGAAAATGGTGGAAGTTCTGTCCTTGYGTGTGCTCGCCCGGCATGGCTGGGGGGTATCGGATCTGCTGCCACTCGTCGTAGCCGTGGTACACGGGGTGAGCCATGGGGGGGCTGTACTGGTACTGGTACATGGGGCAGGCTGGGCCCAGCGGCCCTGGCCCCGGCTCGGGGTGCAGCCTCTCTCCAGAAGCCTGCAAGGAGCCAGGAGAGACGCTGGGGAGATCCAGAGGGCAGCCCACCACCACCCCCAACCCCACCCATTGCCTGCAGCCCTCAGCCCCTCTGCCCAAGGAGGGTTTCCTCCCATCCCTACCTGTTTGTGCTGTTTCAGCAGTTTCTTCAGCTTCTCCTTCTCCTCCTTCTCCCTCTGGCAGTCRTCCTTGGAGGCTCGCAGCTGGGAGCAAGGAGGGTTAGTGCAGAGCCCACCCTACCAGCCCCCATCTCTGAGGGGTGAGGGCTGCTGAGAGAATGCCTCAGCAGTCTTGCCCCATCAGACCCCCAGTAGAGGTGCAGAAAGAGGAGATGAGTGAAAGGAGATGGTCTGGCAGTGACAARCAGCAGAAAAAACACCCCTCTGGCCTTCCTGTCCTCTTTCAGACCCTACTCTTAGGTACATGCAGGGACTGTGACAGTGGGGCAAGCATTTCTGAGACACATGGGGCTCCCAGAGTGCTGCTAGTGGCACCCAGCACTGCTCACCTGGTTGTTRGAGAGGACCAACTGCTTCTGCAACTTTTCCAGCTGCTGCTTCAGCTCTTCTTTCTCCTCATTCATCCTCTCCCTRTCACTCCGCTCCCGCTGGAAGTCTTCCTCAAAAATTTTCACCTGGCAGGAAAGAACAATATATGTGCATCTGGCTGAGGGTAGACACCTCCCCTAATCAACCCCATCATGCACTGCCATCATTGCCTCCACCAGCTACAGCAAGCCCCAGACATTTGGGCTGGCACGATGGCCCATGCCTGTGGTCCTTCCAGTTGAACACTGGAGGATGCTGAGCTTGGTCCCCGATGCCCATCACACCAGTACTGACATCAGCCCAGCAACTGGGTGCTCCTGGCCACACCAGGCTTTGTCATGGAGGTCCAGGACATGTATTTCCTTCCCTGCCCCCAGTGGCTCTGTGCCCTGCCATACCTGCTGCTTGAGTAGCTCATTCTGSGTCAGCAGCTCCTGCTGTGGCAGCTTCACAGCTGGCTCCATGGCAAAGATGGGTGGTGGAGAGGCCTGGACATTCAAGGCCTCTTCTAGTGCCTAGAGAGAAAAGGAAGGAGCAGGGTCAAAGCAAGTTCAGTGCCTAAGATGTCTCTGGAGGACCACGGGCATGTGGCCAACGTGGGGAACAGGTATAATTGGACTAGAGATCCTCCCTGAACCCCATTCCTGGGATCCCAGAGGGATGTGGTGGGCCTCATCTGACACAAGCCCCTGCCTGGGCAAGAGGGGTTTATCAGGGCCAGTTCTGGATTTGAGAGAAGTGAAGAGATTGGAGAGCATAGAAGACATTTTGCAGTGAGGGGCTGTGCCCTGGCCCCCACCTTGTTCAGCCTCTGGATCTCCTTTTCCTGGTATTCCCGCTGCCTGGTGACCGGAGCCAGCTGCTCCTGCAGGAACCGCATCCTCTGCTGCAGGTCCCTCACCTCCATGGCCAGCCTYTCCTTCTCTGCCTGCAGGACCCAGGGTGGGGAGGAGATCAGCCAGGGCAGGGCAACAGGACTAGCAGCYCTCTGTCACCCTTCCCAAGGGACTCACCTCCTCTGTTTCAATCCGGGATTTGGCCAGGAGCAGCTTGCGGTCAAAATCCCGTTGCTTTTGCTCCCGCTCTGACTCCAGCTCGGTCACTGCCCTGCGGGCCTCAGCCAGCTCCTGATGTAGGTCTGTGACCTGCCAGGAGGGAGGAGGGGATGTTGGAATGTTTCCACACTGGGGGAAAGGAGGTGCAGGCAGCCCCCAATTCTCCCTACACCTGTTCCTGCGAGTTCCCGCAGCCAGCACCCAGCTGAAATGTGCCCCCCTGCAGCCACCCCTGAGCACCCAGCCCTGAGCACCCAGCCCTACCTTCTGCTCATACTTCTGCTTCATGGAGCGGAAATGCTGATCCCATTGTTTGTTCACCTCCAGCAGCTGCAGGGAGAGAGGCATGGCTGAACAGGAGCCCAAATCYTGCTCCGAACCAGCTGTGGTGGTCCCCAGCAGACTCCTGTCATGAAAGCACTTTGGGGACCAGCTGGGACTCGGCTCCAGCAGTGCTTCCCTGCAGCTCTGAAGCCCTGCCCCAGTCTCTAGGTGCCATCCCAGTCCTGTGYCCCTCTGCCCACTCCCCGCCTCCTTAGTGCTGCCTCCCTCCCAGCCTGGTCCTCACCTCCCTGCGCTGGTGCTCCAGGATCTTCACCTTCTTTTCCTTGGCCTCCAGCTCTTCTCTGCCCGGCGCCTTCTCCACCATGGCCCCGCTCTGCTGGACGCGCACGGGGGGGACCCTCAGGGCTTTTGTGGAGGCTGTGCCCAAGGCCGGCTAAACTYGAGCCAGTTCYCCTCCCACTGCCTCCCCCATCCCCYTGAGACCCTGAGAAGTCCTGCTGGTCGTACTGGGACAAACTGAGGGCTTGATTAAAAYGAGGCCACTTTTGCTGATGTGTCAGCGGGCTCCCTGCCTCCTTCCCAGCCTTCTCCAAGGAGATGCTGCCTCCTCACCTGCTGCTGCTCGGCAGCTTCCCTCTTCCCACTGTCCTGGTTGCTCAGAGTCACCATTCTCCGGAGCTCCTGGTTCTCACACCTGCAGGCAGGGAGGGATGGGTCAGCAGGAAGAAGCTCCTGGGGTAGCCCTGACCCCTTCCACATGGCCCAGCCTCACCTGAGCTTCTCCAGAGCCTGGTTTCTCTGCTCCAGGTCATGCTCCAGCTTGGTGCGCAGCTCCTTGTTCTCACTGTGCAGTGTCTCACACAATGTCTGCAGGGAGAACACTGACAGCATGAGGACCATGGCCAGCCCTGAGCCACTCACCACCACCAAGCCATTCTAAGGCAGTAGGTGTCCACCTCAGGGTGTACAGGAGGAGTATGGTGGGAAAAAATGAGAGGGGGAAAAGTTCCATGAAGAGCCAGGCCAGCCCTCGCTCACCTGCAGGAATGATGTTCTCTGCTCGTTCTTGTGCACCTTGGAGGCCAAGCGCTTGAGCTCGGAGGCCATGTAGCCCATGCGCACGAA